CCACTTGCAGCTTTCATTCTGGACTCTTGTCATGACAATAATACCTAATCGTATATTCCTCCTAAACAGTTCTCTCCCTCATCAGTTTCAATGCAGTGCGCATTATTTATCCCCTTTTAGTTTCTTCCCAACTCCAATGTCAGTCCTGCTTTACAGCAGTGGCACTATGCAGTATTTATCCTTTTGTGACTGAGATATTTCTCTCAGCATAGTATCCTCCAGGGTCACCCATGTTGTATAATATTTTATGAGTTCCTTGTTTTTTTTTTAATGCAGCATAGTATTCCATTGTGTGAATATACCAGCGCTTCTCTAACCATTCGTTTGTTGATGGGCACCTGGGTTGTTTCCAACTCTTTGCTATTGCGAACAAAGCTGCAATAAACATGGGTGAGCATAGTCTTTTGATTTTTTTAACTGCTACTACCATGGATGTTGATTGTAGATTCAAGGAAAATGAAATCATTGACAACTTCACTCTCCTCTCCATTTATCTTGATGTTGCCTATTGACCCGGTGGAGGGGACTTTTGTTTTCTTGATTTTGAGATGCAATCAATATTGAAGGCTATAGTCTTTGATCTCATGCAGCAAACATTTTTTAAGCTTTCCCCACTTTCAGCAAGCAGAGTTTTGCCAGCTGGGTAATGCAGGTTATTGATGAGTCTCCCGCCAATCCTGGTGTCACAGGGTTGGGTGCGCTATGTAATGCTGGTCAGATGAATCCTTTGTAACTCCATTTCCTCATATGTGGAATGGAGAAACATAATAAAATATGCCTAATGGCACTGTGAGAGTTTAATGAGATTATGTCTGCCTGATGTGCAGGCTGGGTTTAGAAGAGGCATTGGTAATTGGAATATTATAGCTAACGGTAGATGGATCTTGGCTGAAAGCAGAGAGTACCAGGGGAATGTCTATTCATGTTTCATTGTCTATGCAAAGGCATTTGACTATGTAGATCACAACAAACTGTGACTGACTCTGAAAAGAATGGGAATCCCAGAACACTTGATTGTGCTTTCGATAAAACTATACTGGACCAAGAGGCATTTGTCAGAACAGAGCAAGGAAACACTGCATGCTTCAAGATTGGGACAGTGTATACCAGAGATGTGTTCTATATGTAATCTATATGCAGAACAGATCATCCAAGAGGCTGGGCTCTGTGATCATTAGGATTGGAAGAAGACTCACCAACAACTTCCGTTATGCAGATGACACAACCTTGTTTGCCAATGAGGGCGTGAGGCATTTGCTCCAGAAGGTCAAGGTCAACATGGGTTGAAGCACAACATCAAGTAAGCAAAGGCCGATTGGCAGCATCATGATAAACAGTGAAGAGATCAAGATTGCTAACAGCTTCAGTTTGGTTGGCTTCACAGTCAACACTCTTGGTACCAGCAGCCAGGAAATCAAAAGACGAATTGCATTGGGAAAAATCTGCTGTTAGGAAGAGCAACGATGTCAGTCTGGAGACTAAGGTGCACCTGATCCAGGCCATGGTCTTCAAAATTACTTGCTATGCATCAGAAAGCTGGACAATGACTAGGGATGATAGATGAATTGACAGCTTTGAGCTGTGGTGCTGGAGAAGAGTGTTGAATATACCATGGACTGCTAGGAGAACAAACAGGTTTTGTCCTGGAGAGGGTGAAACCAGGCTACTCCTTGGAAGCCAGGATTCTTTGAAGCTTCATTTGACATACTTTGGGAGTGTTGCAAGGAGGGACCGGTCTTTGGAGAGGGACGTCATGCTTAGGAGGGTGGAGGAACAGCACAGGAGAGGAAGACTCTCAAGGAGATGGATTGACTCAGTCACTGGGGTAATGGGGGTAGGTGTGTCAGAAACAATAAGGTTGGCTCAGGATAGAGCAGGGTTCAGAGCTGTTGTACAGAGAGTCACTGTGAATCTGAAACAACATATCTCTAATGGAATAAAAACCACAGCTGGCTCAGGATGGATAGATAGCTGCTGTCAAGTCACCTCTGATTCACTGTGACCTTATCAACAGCAGGACAAAACAATGCCCGGCCGTGTGTTGTCCTCTTGTCTGGGACACCACTCAGATGTGTCAACACGCCTGAGTCTGCAGTCTCTTTACGGAGGGTCTGTCTTTTGTGTATATGTTCACGATGAGCTGCTCTGACCCAGGGGCACATGACAACAACAAGGAGTGTTATATAAGTGAATACCAGCCACATCACTTCTCAGATGTGGGGTCTTGGTCAAGGGCCTCACCTCAAAGCCTTCACTTCATTGTCTTTATAGAAATTACAATACCCATTTCCTCAGCATTATGGGATAGCATAGACATTTACAAAAGGCTAATAACCATTTTCTCAATTAGCTAACCTCTTACTGCAGTAATCCTGTGTAACAAACAACCCCCACATCACAGTTTTCGCAAAGACTGATTTCTCTCTCCCAAGTTTGAGGACAAGCTGGAGGTTCAAGTCCATCAGCATCAGGCCTGTGTCTCACTCGGAGACAGGTGGCTCAGTGGGAATGACCTCCTGAAGATCCAGAAGCTGCAGGAAGCCAGTGCCTCACCTTGAAATCAGCACGCTGTCACTTCCGCCCACATTCCATTAGCTGAAGCAAGTCCTGTGGCCAAGCCCCAAGTCACTGGGCAAGGACGTCCATCCTCCTCGATTGGAGCAGTGGGAAGGGCAGAGAGTGGGGAAAAACAAGCCACAGAGCCTCCTGCACCCCACTGCTGAAGCACCCCTCTTTCCTCAGGTGTACTGTGAAATGATCCCAGGATGCCTCTGGATACAATCCACAGGATTGGCTCTGGAGTGAAAAAAATGATTCATTTCCCTTTCAACCCTCCTGATCGCACCAGAGAGAAAACCTTAGGTTAGAGCTCTGTATCTTTAACAACACTTTGACAGTTGCTAATGTTCCATTTTTTTTTAATTTTTATTTTAATTGTGTGTGTGTGTGTGTGTGTGTGTGTGTGTGTACCATCAAATCAGATCTGACTGGTACAGGAGGAGATTGTTCCTCCTTCTCCAGCAGAGCATCTAGTGGATTTGAACCATGCACCTCTGGGATTGCAGTACATCTTCTTGCCACTAGGCCACCAGAGCTTGCCTAATGTTCCATTTTTAAAGTCCTCTGGTTGTTTGATGTGTTATGTGTTGAAGCAAAAGCTCAACAGTTTGAATCCACCAGTTGCTCCAAGGTAGAGAGTTGGACTGTCTCTTCGGGGAAAGACTCACAGCCTCAAAATCCCAGTGGAGAGTTGCCAGGGTCTGGGGTGACTCGCGGAGTTTTAGGGAACTCTGGTGGCATGGTGCATTATGAGTTGAGCTGACAGAAAAGTTGTCAGTTCAAATTCCCGTAGTGGCTAGGCAGTTTCCTCCCATCAAGATTTAGAAATCAAGAAACCCACTGAGTTGGAATTGACTCCACCGCAGTGGGTTTGCTGTTGGGTGATGCAAAGACCACGCTGGGATGCTGACGTAAAGGTTGCAGGTTTAAGTCCTTTCAGAAGCACCTCAGATGTAAATCCTGCCGCTTTAGCACAGAGGCTTGAAGATTCCTACTTCTGTAAGGATTGACTCTGTCTCCTCGGATTCAAACCACTTACCTCAGGTTGGCATCTCAGCTCCTTAAACCACTTCGCCATCAGAACTTAGGGCCATTTAGTGGAGTTGTTTGTTTTTTTTGTATTTTTGTTTGATTAGGTTTGCCCACCCACCCAGTGGAAACAGTTAGGTGTGAGATTTTAAAACATACGTTTTAAAACTTGTGTTAGATCCATCCAGGTGATTCAAATCCATCAGCTGCACCATAGGCACAAAGTGAGCAACTTCTCCTGTGCGATTTGTACAGCCTCTGCACACCCACTGGAGACCCAGCCGTGCACCAGTTCCAACTCTGTGCAGTGAGTGAGTGGGTGGTGGGTGTGCTTTTTATGTTTACTTCTTGGAATCCCTGGGTGGTTCAGGCAGTTCCTCCATTCAACTGTAACCAAAAGGTTGGAGGTTCAATTCTATCCAAGGGCACCTCAGAAGAAAAGCCTGGCTATCTGCTTCTGAAAAATGGACTGTGGCAACACTGTGGAGCCCAGATGGGGACTTTTTGTTATTGTTTAACACTCAGTTTTGACAACAGAGGCAGGGAGCAGGCCTCAGGCATACGTCATCTAGAGTATTTAGCCAGGCTATATAAACTATTTAAAATAGGTTAATCTTAAAAAAAAAAAACCAAACAAACCAAAAAACCTCAAAACTTTAACCTGACATGATTTGTTTTAACAAAACCTTAGGGTCGCTATGAGTCGCAAGTGACTCGATTACACATAACAACAACAAGGGTTCCTATGCATTTGCTTTTACAGTTATCGTCTGTCTGTGGCAAGTGGTCTTGATTATGCCATTAACAGTAGTAATACCAAGAGTCCTTTTGAAAGAAATTTATTTTTATACAAAATTGAGTTCATTTAAGGAAAGACCATTAGGTAAATATTAGTGCAGTGAACACACAAAATATGTAATGGTGACTTTTTGCAGACATGGCCAAATTTTGGAAGGGTTTTATAAATGAATGAATGTTAGGACATGTGCTCCAGGTGGCTAGGCTGCCTGAATGAAGGGATCGGGCTTCAATAAAGAGAGGGTTCAAGGCTGAGCCATGGAGGTCAAGGAGAAGACTGGGAGGGGTAGAGGGGCCGGCATTTCCAGTGGGAGGAACAGCTTGTGCAAAGGTCGAATGTTAGCAGTGATCAGAAGGTCCACTGGCAGGAGCTCAGGGTGTTTGTGTGGTGGGTGTGGGGAATTCCCCTGAGGTTGGGCTGTCAGACCCTTGACATTCAGGGGGAGGGAGGTGGCGCTGGGAGAAATGACGTCAGATCAGTGCTCGCTCACAAGGTTGGGGCATCTGCTGGCAAGGCTGGTGGTGCTATGTGGGCATCAAAATCCCAAGAGCCCTCGCTGATGTCTGTCTGTCCTGGGAACCCCACCCTGAGGTCCGTGGATCCTGAACCAGAGTTAGCCTGAGGAGAGACAGAGAGAGAAGGAAGAGGTTAACACCTCCCCAGATCTCCCCTCAAGATAGTTCCCCTCAACCTTCTTCACAAAGGTAAAATGAATCCCAGAGAGGTTTAAGGAGTGGTGAATATCACACAGCAAGTCCAAGAAGAGAACCAAGGTCTCCCAGTCCCTGTCATCCTAACAGAGCAACCAGTGCCCAGTGTGGTGCCCATGGCTCTCCCCACATCCCCCCTGCAAGTCCAGGGAGACCCAGCTTTGTGGGAGTGGTGAGGCATCCTGTCAGGTTGGTTAAGAAAGGGTTCAGAGAGAGACAGCACCTGCTGAAGACACACAGAGTGGGGTCCGTACCTGTGCTGGGGTCCCGGCAGTCCCGGCCGCAGGCCGTGAGGCAGCACCGCTTGGAGCCCCTGCAGTCGGTGTCCTTGTGGCACAGGTGCTGGGTGGGGCTCAGGCAGTGCAGGCGGGTCTCAGGGCAGCTGCCCGACTTCACTGTAACACAAGGACCTGGTGAGCCCTGCATGCGCCTGCTGGTGAGCCCTAAACGTGCCCGCTGGCGAGCCCTGTGCGCGCCCACCAGGCCTGGGATGTCAGGCAGGCCTGACATGTCAGGGGTAAGGGGTGGCACTTACCCGAGACCTTGGGGACACACTGATGGAAGCAATTCCAGGAGCAGCACTTCTGATGCAAGGGACACTGGATGTCGCTCACACACTGGTCAGGCGCTGACAGGCGGCAGGGTCCATCATCTGGTGGGCAGCCTCCTGATTTCTCTAGAAGAAAACCCTGAAATCGTGCAGCTGAAGGTGCCTCAGGGTTAAGTCACATGTGCTGGCCTGGCCAGGAATCACAGCATCTGCATTTTCCTGACTTTTATTGTCCTTTGGAAAATCTCTTTATTCCTCTAAGCCTCAGTTTCCTGTCTGTGAAATGGGAAGCAGGACAAGGGAAACCTCCCAGGGCTTGACCACCCGGTGACAGAAGTCCATGCCCATCCCTCTGAGTCTCTTTTAAAAAAAATATTAATTTTTATTAGATAAATAATAAATATTAATTTACAGAGATTTTGCATTTCCATTCATTCATTGTTACACTCTGAGTCTCTTTTTTGGCTCCCGACTTGCTTCAAGTCACTTCCCCCTACAGGGCCTTTGCTTTTGCTATGCCTTTGGTTGGAATCCTCTTCCCTACCCACTGTTCACCTGGGTAGCTCCACAGGTCTCAGCTGAAACCTGGTGGACCATGTCAGCCCTCACCTGTCCCGGTCCCATCCTGCAGAGCCTGCCACTCCACAGCTCTGGATTTGTGTCCCCCCACTTGGCAGGAGGCTCTGGGAGCAGACCCCATGCCAGCCTTGCTCACTAATCTTGGTACCGAATCCCAGGAGTGTCGGGACCGTCAGAAAGGACAGGCTTTGCTGTGGGTTCAAGGCTGGCCTGTGTGTCAGCCATTGTCAGCCTTGTCACATGGGCACAGGCGGGCACACCTGCCTGTGTGGTGCTCACCACTGCTGATGGCATTGTTTCAGAGGTTGGGCATCAGCCAGCTCTCTTGAGTTTTCTGGCCTAGGGCTTACCTAACTGCCCCCCTTTGGTGGGATAGTGGGTCTTTTCCAGATTTTATTATAGAAGGAGAACTGATCCCTTTGAGCTGTGGTGCTGGAGAAGAGTATTGAATATACCATGGACTGCTAGGAGAACAAACAGGTTCATCCTAGAGAGGGTGAGACCAGGCTGCTCCTTGGACACAAGGATTCTGAAACTCCGTCTGGCATACTTTGGACATGTTGCAAAGCGGGACCAGTCCTTGGAGAGGGACGTCATGCTTGGGAGGGTGGAGGGACAGTGCAGGAGAGAAAGATCCTCGATGAGATGGATTGATTCAGTGACTGGGGTAATGGGGGTAGGTGTGTTGGAAACACTAAGATTGGCACAGGCTAGAGCAGGGCTTAAGGCTGTAGTGCTCACTATGAGTCGCAGGTGACTCCACAGCACATAACAACAACAACAACAACATCAAGGGCTTGAAATCTGTTTCCATTTCTCTCCCTTTAGAAGGGAAATCAGGGTCTGAAAGGGACAATGACTTAGGCAGACCCAAAGGGCCTGGCTGGGACTCTGAGTCCTTGTCTTCCAGGGCAAGGAAAGCCTTCCCCACCCTCTGCTCTGGCCTCTGCCCAGTGTTAGGAACATGAGCCAGCCTTCCACGCAGGTGAGAGGGGTTCAAGAGCCAGCAGCAGCTGCAGCACTGTCCCTTTACCTCTGTGTCCTCATTCTCCTCCACCCCCTGCCAGCACACACAGCAGGGACCCTGCTCACACAGGAAGTTCTCGGCTTCAGTTGGGGTTGGGGGGCTGGATTGGTTTGAATTGTTGCCCCTTCTTAGCCTGAGTTCACCACATGCCACACGCCTGCTCTTATTAGACCCCTCCCCTTGGCTGGGTTAGGATGAAACCTGGGAGACAGTCTGGGGTGCAGGGCTTAGTCTTAAGCTTTCAAAGTTCCTCTTGAGAGGAAGGGTGGGCCAAAGGGAGCTGTGTGAACCTAGAGAGGGAGGGTCAGCGGACCCGGAAATTCCTTTCCTTCCTTCAAGCCCAGTTTCCTCAGTACGGACCTACACGCTGAAGCACCGTCATGTCCACACATGGACCGATACAGATCTCTGCCCGACTGGTTACATCATACTGACTCGGACTCATGGTGCTCCCTAGAGTTTTCAGTAGCTGAATGTTCAGAAAGACATTGCCAGGTCTTTCTTCCAAGGTGCCTATCGAGGGACTTGAACTTCCAACCTTTGGTTAGCAGCAGATTGTGGTCACTGTTTGTACCCCCCCCAGGAATGCCACTCAGTGAATAAGATGATTATGCCTAGACGGTTAAATGTATATTTACAGAAACATGCATACATATACACAATAAAGATAGATGTGCTTAGCAATGTATGTACACACACACACACACACACACACACACAGATGTCATGTACCGTCGAGTTGACTATGGCTTATAGTGAGTGACTCTATGAACACAATTACTATATATATTTTTTTTTCTTCTCCCCTAGTTCAAATACACCAGCTGCCAGCTGCTCTGTGGAAGGAGGATAGGAAATCTCCTCACATTCTATTAATTATTAATTGCCTCTGAAAACCCACTGGAAGGTCAGCTACACAACAATATATATTACAACAACAACATATATATATATATATACATACACACACATACATATATATACACGCATACACATATATACATACATATACACACACGTAAGCAGAGTCATATTTATACATTTGAAGGGGGATGTATACACAGTGTAATATAAAAATATTCCTGGTGGCCCAATGGTTAAGTGCTCACTGGTCGGCTCTGGGAACCCAACAGCAGCGTTCCCTAATGATCTGTTTGCCCGCAGAAAACCCTATCTGGAGGAGCAGGAGGAGGGGCGTTTGCCTGGAGCGCTCTGGCCAGCCCGCTGGGGAGCTGCCTAGTTGTCTGTTGACTGAAGAAGTATATGCAACAGTAAAAAAAAAGAAAAAAGAAAGAAAACCCTATCATCGGGGGTTCTTCTCTGTCACGTGGGGTTGCTGTGACTCTAAAGCAGACTCTTTGGCTCCTGACACCACCAGCAGCTATCTGTACGTATGGGTGCATACACAAATAGTTACACAGACATAACAGTCATGTACATAAACACGTATGTGTGAGCAGAGACATATACACACGTGTTGTTGTTGTTATGTGCCATCGAGTCACCTGTAACTCATAGTGACCCTACGTACAACAGCCCTAAGCCCTGCTCTGTCCTGTGCCAATCTTATTGTCTCTGACACACTTATCCCCATTACCCCAGTCATTGAATCACTACAACTCATCAAGGATCATCCTCTCTTGTGCTGTCCCTCCACCCTCCCAAGGCTGACATCCCTCTCCAAGGACCAGTCCTTCCTTGTAACATGTCCAGAGTACACATTCATAAACACGAAACTGTACAGACCTGTACAGATCCAGATATCTTCACCAATACCCTCTGACCACTTGCTATATTCCAGGGGCTGTGCCAAGATTTTTATATCAGACATCTAGATACTTGAGTTGGGAGAACAGAAATGGCTGTGCATTAATAGATAACAGATGAGGACTCCCCTCACCTCAACTCTACCACTTTCTTCCATTGTCTGGAATTTTCTGGAAGGTTAGGACAAATGGAAGGGGAATCTGGAAAGGGTAGAGTTGAGGGGGATTTCAGGAGACACAAACGTCTCAGATGGTCAAACAGTATGTTACACTTGGCTTTGGAGAGATTCTGAACAGGCTTAGTATTGGGGAGTGCCCTCTTGGTGCCCACTAATTATTCACTTATGCAGCGCCAGCTGTATGCCAGGCCTTTGGAGAACTCAGTTACTTAAAACACCTTTTAAAGTAATTTAATTCTGCGAGAGGTATTGGATCCCATTTTAGAAGAGGTCACTTGAGATTTTCTTATTCCAAAGACCTGCACTCGGATGACACCTCTGACACTAGTTCAGCGTGAGTCCTTAACCTGGGGCGAGTTATTTCTCATCTCCCCTCTCCTCCCTCTCCCAGAAATATCCCTGACGTTGCAGCGTGGCAGCAAGGAGTGATGAAGGCGCAGGAGTCGCAGCTGGCCCTGGCCCGAGGCTGGGACCCTCCCTTCCTCCCTCCCTTTCTCAGCCTGGCAGGTCCCCTAGTACCATCCTCCTCAAGGTGCTTCTATCTCAGCAAAGAGAAGGTGCCTCCAGAAGCTTGTGCTGGCTGGGGAGTGAGGGGGAGAGAGGACACAGAGAACTACTCCCCAGGACCCTGTGGAAGAGGGGAAATCGTCCCTCTTACAGTGGGGTGTGAATGTAGGGCAGAGCATTCCAGCCCCAGGAGGGGACAGAGGCGGGAACCTCACCCACAGAGGCAGCTGTGCAGCCACTCGGGTGTCTTGGCCTCTTTCCCTCCTCACTTACCAACAGGGCAGGTAGACCTCTCAGTGCTGGGAATGGAATGGGGCAGAGAGGGGAGTCCTCCCAGTAGACAAGACAAGCAATGCTCCCTCTCCCTGCTCCTTTCCCTTCCACAGATTATACAGGGGTCGGGAGGGGCAGAAGTCCAGCCTCGTAGAAAGGATCAGCACTCTGTCATGTGGACACACAGTTTCAGACACACTTCCAAAAATCCATCCACACTGTAGTACACACATGGATAGGGACACAGCTTCAGACACGTACCATTCCCAAGTTGACATGTGCTGGCATGGATTGATACGGCAGCAGACACAAATACATACATAAACCCAATCTCTCTCTCTCTCTCTCACACACACACACACACACACACACACACGCACACACACACACACACACATTCTCTCTCCCTCCCTCCCCCTCGCTCTCCTTCTCCCTCTTCCTCCATGTCTCTGTCTCTGCTGTCTCTGTCTCTCTCTCCCTCCCTCCCTCCCTCCTTTTCTCTCTCTCTCTTACTTGCCTTCCCTGGGCCCCCAGACCTCACTCAGAACAGAGCCACCTGGCCTATGGAGCAGGGGAATCAGTGTGTACCCCCAGAGTTTCTTGGAGAGCTGAGTGAAGCCTCCATAGGTGATTTCATAGTCTGCTCACAAGATCCATCTACCTGCCTTATTTTCTATTCCATTCCCTTCCCAGTACCTGACCCAGCGCTAGTTTTTCTGCCACCCGCTAGAGAGCTTCTCAGCCACCTTACCCTCACTTACCATTTTTCCTCCGGCCTGAGGCAGAGGGCAGTTGGCTCCCCAAAGCCAAGAGGGCCACCAGGAGGAGGAGGCTCCAGGCCCTCATATTTCTGTCATGGGCACTTTGTATGTCCAGGGCCCGGTGTCCCTCACATTAACACATGAGGCCTCAAGAGGAGCATAGCAACTGAGTCAGGGAGGGAGCATTGTGGGTGGGTGGAGTGGCATGTGTCTTCCTCATTCTGGTCCTGCCCCCCCCACCCCAAAGGTTCACTGCAAAGCTGATGGCAGGATGGGCGGGTCCAGGTGTGGGAGCGTAGGTACCAGTCCTGCCTCTGCCAGTCATGTGAGCTGTCACCCCTGGAAAAGTTTTGTCTCTTTGTGTCTCAGTTTACCTTGTCTGCTTGAAGGAGGAGGATGTTTGAATCAGAGGCTCACTTTTCTGGTTTTCTTGATTCTTGAGTTCCTGGGGGAGCCGAACAGGTTGGCATTCACTTGGAGTTGCCGTGAGTTGGATGGGATCCACTCAGAGGCAACTGGGTGTTTTTATTTTTCTTTTAGGACTTTGAGGCCCCAGCGAGGCAGAGACAGGAGACAGAAGGCGGCTTTAGAATGGTGAGGCAGGGTATGCGTGTACGTGGGGAGCGGTGGGGGAGACATAAGGAGTTAGGTCAGCGTGTCCTTTTCGAGCAGGCTGGCTCAGGCTGGCCAGGGTGGAGGTGGCCAGGCCAGGCTTCTGTCATTGGTCCTTATTGGTTGCCTCTGGTGTGATGACTTCCTGTGGCATCTGTCAGAACTTCCCCTGTCTGGAGTGGCCTTAGGTGTTTGAGGTGTAGGACACAGGTTTGGCTAAGTGTTCGAGTCATAGCGAATTTGAGTAGCCTCTGGGAAATCTTTTGGCCCCAAGGAATAGTGAGGAAGAAGAAGAAAAAAAAACATTTCAGCCAGAGGTACCCTCCTCCATCGAATTTCACATCTCTGATGCTGGTGTCTGTATTTGGTGGAGAAGAGCCCCTGGCCTTGGTGTCTCAGGACGTTGGAGGTGAGGGTTGTTGTTATGTGCCATCAAGTCACCTGTAACTCATAGTGACTCTGTGTACAACAGCTCTAAGCCCTGCTCTATCCTGGACCAGTCTTATTGTCTCTGACGCACCTACCCCCATTACGCCAGTCACTGAATCAATCCATCTTATCAAGGGTCTTCTTCTCTTGCACTGTCCCTCTACCTACCAAGCATGACATCCCTCTTCAAGGACTGGTCACACCTTGCAACATGTCCAAAGCATATCAGATGAAGATTCAGAATCCTTGCTTCCAAGGAGCAGCCTGGTCTCACCCTCTCTAGGACGAACCTATTTGTTCTCCTAGTAATATATTAAATACTCTTTTCCAGCACTACAGCTCAAAGGCATAATTTTCCTTCGATCCTCCCTAGTCATCGTCCAGCTTTCTGATGCATAGCAAGTAATTGCGAAGAACATGGCCTGGATCAGGTGCCCCTTAGTCTCCAGACTGACATTGTTGCTCTTCAGTACTTTGGAGAGGCCCCTGACAGCAGATTTTCCTAATGAAATATTCATCTTTTAATTTCCTGGCTGCTGGTACCAAGAGTGTTGATTGTGGAGCCAAGCAAACTAAAGCTGTTAATAGTCCCAAATCTCTTCACCATCTATCATGATGCTGCCAGTTGGCCCAGTGGGGTGAGGGTAAGGGACTCCAGACAGTTGCTTAGCAGGCACATGGTACTGAACAAAGAGGAGAGGTGATCAGAGCCCATCCTGAGGGTCTGTTATTTGAAAAATGAGGAGTCTGTGAAGGGGAGTGGCCTAAAGTCACAGCTGATTCTAAGCTGAGACTTCCACTGTCGTTGCACCATGATTCCCATCCAGTTTATCAGCCCCAGAAGCAGGTCAGTACTTCACGTGACCGTGACAAAGACAGGTAACATTCCAGTGATTGTCTCACTTGCCCATTCCTGTCTGGGACAGTACTCGAAGTTAAAAAAAAAAGTTTCCTTGTGTTTGATTTGCATTCTTCATGCTGCCTTCTAAGTCTTCAGGAAAATAGCCCACAGCTCCCCCACCACCTGGAACCCTATCTCCTGTGATCTGCTGTTGCTTTGGAAATTCTGACCTATCCCTACCTGGCAGCTTTATTTTACAGGAAAAGTTATGGAAACAATTTTTTCCCCATGATTTAAAATTACGCATATCCCAAAAAATTGAAAAAAGAAATACCATTTGACGTAGCCATTCCATTACTGGGAATACACCCTAAAGAAACCTGAGCCACAACTCAAACAGATGTCTGCACACCCATGTTTATTGCTGCATTATTCACAATAGCAAAGAGATGGAAGCAACCCAAATGCCCATTAATAAATGAATGGATAGAAAAGCTGTGGTACATCCGCACAATGAAATATATGGAAAAACAATGAAATAGTAAAACCTTACACAACATGGGGGAGGCTTGAGGACATTATTCTAAATTAAATATCTCAGTCACAAAAGGAAAAATGCTGCATTACATCTCTGTTATAAAATAAGACAGACATGGAGGGGTTAGGAAGGGAATGAGAAAAAGAATAGATAATGAACACCGCATTAGAGCAGATGAGGGGAAGAACTGTCTGAAAGGAATATGTGATTATGCATTATATGTATAAGAACAATCTAGAACAAGGGATGATGAGGAGGAGGAGGAGAGAAGGGGAAGAAGGAAAAGGGAGGAGAAAATGTGCAACAATGAATAAAAGACCTAAAAAAATAAATAAAAGAATAAAAAAAGGGCTCAGCTCCCATCTCAAGCCATAGTCTTCTCCATTGCTTCACATGACTGAAAAGTGGACAGTGAATAAGGGAGTCAGAAGAGTAACAATCCCCTTGACCTCTGATGTTAGCAAAGAGTTTTGCACCTCCCATGGACTTCCTAAAGAACACGTATCTCTTGTAGGAAGTGCAGCCCCCTTAGAGGCAAAGATGATGAACTTTGTCTCACATACTTGGTGCATATTGTCAGAAGGCACTAGTCCTGAGATAAAGCAGACTGTCAGCGACAGAGAGAAAGACCCTCAACAAGATGGACTGATAGAGGGACTGCAAGCATGACCTTGAACATGGCAGAGAGTGTGAGTGACAATGGGCATGGTTCTGGTCTGTCGTTCATAGGGTCACCATGAGTCGTGGTTGACTTAGCGGCTCGTAACCACAACTAACAGTGGGTAAAGGTTCCAGGTTCTCTATATCCTCCTCGGTCCTTGTCTCCATTTTTCCTATAATAGGTACCTATTAAGGGTGAAATGGTATATCAGTTTGGCTTGATTATTTCCCTGATGACTAAAGACAAAGACATGATGAGCAGTATGGTCATTCCCTCAATGAACCCTTCTGTGAACAAGCCAGTGAGTTGAAGGGGGGTTGTTTAGTTGGATTGTACTCTGCAGTCAGCATGTCCTGAAGTCTCACAGGGCTGGCTTGCTTTTTTGTTTCATCTGGATCCTGCACTTGGCTCATCACTGCTAGTTCTTCGGACTTGAACAGAACTCAGCCTTACCTGCCAATCTTAGACGCCTCAGCCTTCAAAGCTACATGAGTGGAGAAGCCGCTCTCCTGAAGTCTGGCCCACGGGCCTGAGACTTGCCAGTCTCTACAAGTATTTGTCACATCTTTTAGCTAAATCTAGATAGATAGATAGATAGATAGATAGATAGATAGATAGATAGATAGATATTGGGTTTACTTCTCTAGAAAACCCAGACACTTATTTTTAGATTATTTTTTTTAGCAATTTAAGAATGATCAGTTTCACTTTTTCTATAAATATTTGGTGAAATTTTCCCAGTGGAGCTATTTAGTGCAGGACTATTTTTTTTTAAAAATTTATTTTAATGGAAGTTTACAGAGACTTTCGCTTTCCATTCATTCATGGTTGCACTTATCTCCCTGCCCACATCTCCCCCTCAATTCGCTTTTCTTTTTAAAAAGTAAAAGAAAAATATCTTTTATTATTGTACAATCCCTCCCCAAAGTCTACTCCACTGTGCTACCTGCATTCTGGAAGTTCAGGACGATTTTTGTTGTTGTTTTTTTTAATTACTGATTCTGTCTCTTCATTTGTTATGGGGTGTTAAAATTCTTCCATATCTTCTCAAGTCAGTATCTGTAGTTTATGCGCTTGTTTAGGGGAAATACGTAGAGTGAAGACCACCCCTCGTGGTTACCTCGGAACTTTTCTGATCTTTCTGGGAGATAATAAGACTATAGGGAGCTTGAGAGAAAGGAAAGGAGGTTTCTTTTGGTGAGGCATCAGGATTTGACTGGGGGAATTGTCAGGACCTGAGGGCCCTGGTTCAGACCTGAACGGATGGTTGGGGTGAACGTAGGTGGCCCTACAGGTATGGAGAAGGATTTCCAAAGATCCAAGATCCAGTGTCCAGACTACATTGTTGTTGTTGTGAGCCATCAAGTCAGAACTGACCCATAGCTGACCCTCCAGCAGGTTTTCAGAAGCCGTAAATCACATGGGATTGTCCATCCTTCTCTTGAGGAGCAGCTGGTGGATTCGAACAGCGTGCCTTTGGGATTGCAGCACAGTCTCTTACCACTAGGCCACCAGAGCTCCCTGCAGACCACATTAGTCATATGTGACCATATGGGTTACTGTTCCTACTCACTGGGAATAGATGTCTTTCCTCTCCTGCTCCCTGCCCACCACTCTGTTCCTAGAATAAGTCACAGGGGTCTTGCTGTTCTCTCCTTCTGTGGTGGGAGGACTTACCACTCTCCCCAGAGACCAGAAGCAACAGGAACCAGAGACAGGTACAGCAGACAGGACTCTTTATTGGCCAATGAATGATAAAGCTGGGCACCCTGATGGCAGGAACAATGGTGGGTGTGGTGCCCTGGGACTGGATCAGAGCCTGCAGTCCAGCTAAGTCACAGAGGTGCAAGGGCCTCACCTGGGCAGAGAGGGAGGAGTTACGTACCAGGGGCAACCCAATAGATCATGTCTTCTCGTGGTGTCCTTCCACTCAGAGGTGCAATGGGACAAAGCCCTGTCCTTAGGGGATTGATTCACTCAGGGCTTGATCTTATCCCCTTGTTCCCTCCACGCCCACAGACGACCTGAACTGGCCTATGAAGCTTCAGCTCCCCCACCCTCGCCCTGCTTCCCTTCCTCCCAGCGACCAGGTCCCTACCTCATATGGGCTCCAAGCACGTCATCCCGCAGTGACCCGCACAGCATTTCTTGGCTCTTGGGCACTCAGTGTCTCTTTCACAGAGTTTAGGGGGATTAAGAACTGTGCGTTTGGTGGGAACGGTGGGGCAGTAGCCGCGCGCTTCTGGACCTCCTTTGGATTTTGGTGCTGTATGATTGCATGTGGACTGTGAATTCTGCCCGTCATTTTTCTTTTTATTATCTTTTCTAAAAGAGGGGGAGCCATTATTCAGACCCTGTGCCCTGCTCAGCTGTCACATTTCCTTTTGGGATCAGCTGTTTGGGGTGTCAAACCCCACACCATGCACCAGTATAGGAGAGGGGTCCCCCCATAAGCTGGAATAGAAGAGGGGTTCCAACCATATGCTGGAAAAGGAGAGGGGTCCCACCGTGTGCTGAGATAGGAGAGGGGTCCCATCATGTTCTGGGAGAGGAGAGGGGTCCCATCATGTTCTGGGAGAGGAGAGGGGTCCCGCCGTGTGCTGGGATAAGAGAGGGATCCCGCCGTGTGCTGGGATAAGAGAGGGGTCCTGCCATGTGCTGGGATAGGAGAGGGATCCCGCAGTGTGCTGGGATAGGAGAGGGGTCCCGCCGTGTGCTGGGATAGGAGCGGGGTCCCATCATGTTCTGGGAGAGGAGAGGGGTCCCGCCATGTGCTGGGATAGGAGAAGACGACCAGGGTCAGGGAAGAAAAACTTGCCCTTAAGAGTCTAGATTCTGGGGAAACTTGTCCTTGCCTTTGAGGAATTGGACTTCAGGACTTGGATTGCCTCAAGGTGCCCATCTCAGCTTCTCCCCCATGCCAAACCCCAGGACCCTGGGGCAGGTGCCAGGTGAGAGCCACTCCCAGAGGTCAAAGACACATATCATCATGCTCTGAGAAAACAGTGGAGTGGGGTGAGCCCTGTATTCTGTGCTCTCTGACTTGAGCTCGCATTCTGCCTTTGGGTTGGATTGATAATGTCTTCATCCATCAGTTTTCTGCTTCCTAAAATATGCGTGTTCAGACAGGTTGATCTCTGAGGGTTCTGCCATCGCTTAGCTCTCCCTGCCAACATCCTTGCTAGAAGGTCTGATCCCTTGGTATTTTGAGGGGACAGATAGGAGAATGAAAGCAATCAGCACCAAATGTGGGGCCCCAGGCTCCTCACCTTTTATCGTCTTCTTCAAAGGGATCACACACCGAAAGCCACACTCCACATAGCAGCACTTCTTATTCCGTAAGCAGTGCTGGTCTTGGCCACACCGGGGTATATCAGATCGGTAACAGATTCTAGACTCGAATGGGCAAACCCCTGACTTCTCTTTTTCTGGTGGAGGAGATCACAGTAGTGAGCTGAGGTTCCAGACCTACTTAGAGCCCCAGAAAGCCCCTCAGAGACTCAGCCCAGCTCACCTCCACCCAGACCCACCCCCTCCACTCACTCTCTCTATTTCTTTCCCCCATCACCAGAGTCACAAAAAGGAGAAACACCATCAGGATCAAATAGCTGGTGGGCCTCATGTTTGCTGGAAGGTGTTTGGCTGAGAGCTGAGACTGACCCTGGTTTTATATGGTCATTACTGGGTGTGCCAGTGGGTGGGGCCAAAGGTTCACAAATGACAAGAGCTACACTTGCTTGAGGGAGCGCCAGTGGCCTAGTGGCATGAAGCTGTGTTGCAATCCTGAAGGCACAGGGTTTGAGTCCACCAGCAGCTCCACAAGAAAAGGATGGGTATAATCTCTTCCCCTGCAATTAACTGCCTCTGAAAACCCATCAGAGGGTAAGCTGTGAGTTGGTGCACCTAGGGAGCTCTGCTGGCCTATTGGTAAGAAGCTGCACTGCAATCCTAAAAGCATATGGTTCAAATCTGCCAACCACTCTACAGGAGAGGGATGGACAACCTCCACTTGTGTGATTTATTGTCTCTGAAACCACCTGCGGGTCATCTCTGAGTCGGTTCTGACTCAAAGGTACATAACAACAACAACAACACTTAACAAGCTCGAATTCACCAAGTGCTCTGCATGAGAAAGTTGAACAATCTCCTCCCATGTAATTTACTGCCTCTGAGAACTCACTAGAGGGTCAACTATGAGTCACTTCCAACTCAATGGTACATAACAACCACAATGCTTACCTGGTTCTCTCAGGAAAAGCCCACCTCTTTCCAAGTAGGGGGATTAGGAACTCTGATTGCCCAAGACCTGACCTCCTTTCTTCACATGAAGGGAAGAGGGACCTGATCCTTGGGAGATACCGGGACCAAATAATATTTGGAAGGTGGTACAGATGGAAAGGAATCACTTAGGGAAAAGAAAGAAAGGTCACCCAACCCAACAGAGGCGGAGTGCGGCTTCTTACTTCAAATCCAGGGCTTTCTCTGCTCAACCCTCTTCGTGTGTATCTCATCCTAGACTGAGACCTGCACTCTCTGCTGTACTGCTTGTCTCAAGTTCCCTTGGAGCCCAGAGAAGAACATAAATGGTGGGGCTCAAAATGCCCTGGACAAAAAAAAAAATTAAAAAAAAAAAATGCCCTGGACCTCGTGTCCATGCACTCAGTCCTTGGAGCTTCCGTCTTCCTTCCATGTTTCCTTGACTGGCCCGTGTCACAGCTGTCCCTGTGTGATGGGAGCCAAGTAGGACTTTGGACTTGCCGCTAACTGCATGGCTTTGCAAATCAGCACTTGTCTAAGGTTCCGTTCCCTCACTCATAAAATGGTCCTAATAAATGTACTGGCCCCTTGGAGTTGTTCCTTGGGCCACTGAGAGAGGATCAGCAGCTGTGTGGCCCTCTTTTGTCTTCCTTTCCTCTCCTCTGCCCTCTCTTGGATTTTTCATTAATTCTTTGTATTTCTGCATTTCTCTTAGAAGGAGAGAGAGGTGGCTGCTGGTATTGGGCGTGAATGCCCCTCCATGATTAGTGCAGGATAACAGTTATATGGTGGGTAGATGCCAGGATGCTGCCAACTACCCTACAGAGTTCCCACACAACCATCCCATCAAAATGCCAAGAGTTCTTTGTCTAAGAAGCCCTGCTCTTTTTTTTTTTTTTAAAAGTCCCCCCTTTCTTGTTATGTACCATCAAATAGGACCATCAAATAGGATACAACTGGCACAGGAGATCACCCCTCCTCTCTAGTGGAGCATCTGGTAGATTCGAACTGCACACCTTTGGGACTGCAGCACAGCTTCTTGGCACTAGACCAGCAGAGTTCCCTAAAACCCTGCTCTTTTTTTTTTTTAAATTTAGTTTGTTTATTTTTCATTTCAATGAACATCTACAGAGATTTTGGAATTCCATTCATTCATTGTTGCACCCTTCTCAAAACCCTGCTCTTGAGGTTATTGTTTTGTTGTTGTTCGGTGCCACTGTGTTGAGTATAACTCATGTTGTTGTTATGTGTCATTGAATCACCTGTGACTCATAGCGACCCTGTGTACAACAGCTCTGTACCCTGTCCATCTTGCACCAGTTTCATGGACTCTGACACACCTAATCCCATCACCCCACTTATCTAGGTCCCATCTCATCGTTGTCTTCCTCTCCTGCACTGTCTCTCCACCCTTCTGAGCATGATGTTCTCCAAGAACTGGTCTCGCCTAGCCATGTGCCCAAAGTATATGAGATGGAGCTTCAAAATCCTTGCCTCTAAGGAGAAACTTGATTTCACCTTCTCCAAGACAAGACCTATTTGTTCTCCTGGCTGTCCATCGTTTGTTCAATACTCTTCTCCAGCACCACAACTCAAAGATATCCATTCTTCTTCTGCTGTCCTTAGTCATTGTGGCAGCTCTCTGATGCATCGCAAGTAATTGCAAAGACCATGGCCAGGATCAGGCACGCCTTAGTCTAGACTGACATCATTGCTTCTCAGTACTCTGGAGAGGTCCTTGAAAGCAGACTTTCTCATTGCAATTCATCTTTTAATTTCCTGACTGCTAGTGCCAAGAGTATTGATTATGGAGCTGGACTTGTTAACAACCTCAGTCTCTTCTCCCTCCATCACGGTGCTGCCAATTGGCCCAGTGGTGAGGATCTTTGTCTTGATATAGAGCTTCGATCCATATTGAAGACTACAGTCCTCGACCTTCTGCAGCAAATGCTTCAGGTCCTCCTCAGTTTCAGCAGGCAAGGTTGTAACATCAGCATATCACAGGTTGTTGCCGAGTCTTCCTCCAAACCTGATGCCACACTCATCTTCATAACACGATCCCATAAACAACAAGCAGTGAGCCCGGTTCTACCCTGTTCCATCCTCATCCTCTCTGACACACTTGAGTTCCTTGCTGTCACTCTTGAGGAGCACTTTATAATATCTTAAAATAGAGCATTTATTTATGTATTTTTCTGATTTTGAAAGAAGCTTTTGTTTATTGAAGCAAACTGTAGAAGTGAAGTACTCGTAGCTGACCCTCCATTGGTTCCCTAGGCTGTAATTCACAAGGGAGGAGACTGTCCAGCTCTCTCCTGCAGAGTGGATTCAAAGGCAAGGCCTTTGGGTCAGCAGTGCCACCTGCCTTCAGACTGGGCTACCAGTGCTCCCTAAAATATAACATTTACTTATGTGTTTTTCAGAGTACAAATACATTTCTTGTTTATTGAAGTGACTATGAAGGTAAAGAAATGTGGTGTTGTTGTTATTGTGTACCATGGAGTTGGAACCAACCCAAAGCTGACCCTCCAGGGAGTTTTCAGAGGCATTAATCACAGGGGAATAGATTGTCCATCCTTCTCGTGAAGCAGCTGTTGGCCACGAACCATGTGCCTTCAGGATTGTAACACAGCTTCTTGCCAATAGGCTACCAGAGCTCCCTGGAAAAGTGTGGGAGGAAGAAAGCAGACATCACCAGTGTAATGTCACCTATGATGCTGGCTTGCTTTCTGAGAAGAGAGTCCACGATTTCCTCTGGGGAACCTCTTCCTCTCCCTTCAGTGGAAGTCACTTAGAATGAGAGCCCACCTACCTCCAACTCCTGCCCTAAACCATTTGAAGTTCTTTGTTGTAACTGGCACGAAAGAGAGAGAAGTCTTTTACTTGGAATGAAGTTGGCAGCCCAGGACCTCAGAACCATGGTTCTAACCCTGGTAAGAAAGATGCCCAAAGGAGGAAAAACAAACAAACTCTTTTCCATTGGGGGGGAAAAAAGACTCCCTCAGAAGACGAATCTAAGGCACTTTTAAGCTGAGATGAGAGATGAACAGAGACCTTTTTGAGTCTAAGCCTGTACCCTCTTTGCTGTCAGTGCCACTCATACCTTTCTCATGGTTGGTTACCACCCAAGAAATTCACCTTTCTGTCTGAGCTGATCTAAGCTAGGGTTCTGGTAGTAGCTACAAGAATCTCAAGTAATACGGGAATTCAGGGATGGGACAGGTCAGAGGCTGAACCGAGATCTGAAGAGGGAAAGGGAGGAGCCTTCCTTCCAGGAAGAGCGCACATTTGATATTGAGTGGCTGGATACGCTCTTGCCATTTGTCTCCTTGGACGTAGACATGTGTGCACCAGGGCTGAAGTCTAGAAGGGTGTGGACACATGCCAAGATGTTGGAGTAGACTCACGATTTCCTGCTCTAACTTTTTTCTTAGAAACTTTTTAACATAATAAAAAATTGAGAAATGATTCCTGAACCACAAGTGGGTGGTTTAACACCACTATTGAGGTGAGATGGGTGTGTGTGTGTGTGTGTGTGTGTGTGTGTGTGTGTTGTGGGGAGTTGCATTGCTAACCCAAATATGGCATCTCTCTGGCAGTTTGAATCCACCAGTCACTTCATGGAGAAAGATGAGCATCTTCTCTGGTGCAACTTACTGCCTCTGAAAGCCTACTGGAGGGTCAGCTATTGAGTTGGTTCCAACTCGACAATATACACCATCAACATGTGTATATATGTTACTCAACAACATATGAGTAAGTCATACAGAAGTAGTAAAACTCTAAAGAAAAATGTAAGAATAATTAACAAGAAGTCCCAGAAGCAGTGAAGACCGTGTTCATTTTAAAATCAGTTCATAAGAAATTTACAGCCTCTGAAAGCCTAATGGAGGATCAGCTAGAAGTTGGTTCTAGATGGCAATAAGTTTGAGCTTTTTGAGTGACATTTCATGTATAAAAATAGAAATTATGTTTATTTATTGACCAAAAGCTCCTAAATTATAGGCATTATGTTGCTTAACCTTCAATTCCTTAGCCTGCAAATTTTAAGAGTAAAGATTATCTGTGTAACCACAAAATCATTACCATATCTTAAAAAGTTGGCAATAATTCGGGCATGCCATCTAACTTCCAGCTCATATTCAAGTTTGCATAATTGTCCCCAAATTGTCCTTTATAGTGTTTTCTGAGATCATTTAAAATTTTTATTGTAAAATAAAGCTTAGTTATGGAAGAACATGATAAACACTGTGTACTTTTTGAGGAGTAATAAAAATCAGTGCTTATGAACTGATTTTAAAATGAACATGGTCTTCACTGCTTCTGGGACTTCTTGTTAATCATTCTTACAATTTAGAGTTTTAC